ACCTGCCTTGCAAGCAGGTGGTTGTGAGTTCGATCCCCGGTACTGATAAAAAGAAAAAAGAAATCAAAAGGAAGAAAAAGGCAATGGCTAAAAATTAGCAACAAAATATCACATTGTGTATCAAAAATGGTGGCAAAACTACAAAGAATTATTTCAAGTGACTTTAAAATAATAATTTAACCACACATCCACTGTCCTAAGAATAGGATCATTAAAAAATCTGAAGGCCAGGTATGGTACCATACACCTGTAAGATCCCCAGCACTCAGGAGGCTGAGGCAGGAGGATTATCTAAGTGAGCTAGGAAGTGAGCTCAAGGGCACCCTGAACTGCATAGTGAAAAACCATCTCAAAAGCAGGCAGTCATGAGTTCGATCCCTGGTACCGATAAAAAGGAAAAAGACAAAAAAAAAAAAAAAAAAGAAAAACCATCTCAAAGAAAAAAAAAGACAAAAAACAAAATAAAACAAAAGTTAGCTCTTTCCCAAGCCTACTTTGAATGTTCCCCTAGAAGTTATTAGTCCTGACATCTCTAACATCTTACTTACCTTGTTCTGTTACTTTTTTTCTGCTTATTCATACCACATACTGTTGTGTATTTATCACTGCTCTGTACATCCAGCAAATAGTCACTAAATACTTGCTGTATTTTGGACCTGTGCTACAGGCTAAGTATGAGGTATGATCAAAAAGTACAGCCAATTTTTAAAAGGTTATTACAGTAAGACACACCGACATTAATCCCCCTCACAATACTCCACCTCATTTTAAACACACTTATTCTGTCATTCTTCCCATTTCCTGAAGCAGTTCTGAAGTCTTCTTTCTTGAGTGTCTTTAATTGTGCTATCACGGCATCCTGAGTTGACTCAAAGCTTTTACCTTTCATGGTCATTTTCACTTTGGAGAAGAGTCAGTAGTGCCATCACACCAGATTAAGTAAATACGGTAGATCAGGACATGTTGTGATGTGTTGATGACCCTGCCTTTCTGTTAGATGGCAGCAGCACTCACCACATTTTTGTCACACTACATAAACATTCACAAAAGAGAACTTCCAGAACTGCTTACGAAAACAGCAAAAAGGAAGGGGTAAGTGTATTCAAAGCAAAGGGAAGTATTTTGTGAGTTTAATGACAATGGGTTTTTTTTTACCATGATACAAATTTGTAATTTTCACATTCACAGTATAACCCCGGGCCCCACAGTATATTTCAAATACAGTGTTAAGTTTTACAATGAAAATACTGTCCCTGATCTTGCTGGAGTTACAATCTGATTTTGCTGAAGTTACTATCCACATAAGAAATTATACACAATAATGAGAACTGTTACAAAAAGAGAAGTGGAGGAGCTAAGATAAGATGTAACAGACTTTAGTCACATATTCCCCTCTCAAGCGGGAGTGGTGGGGAGCGCTTGGCCTGATGACGCCACGGACTAGGATCCAGTAGGCTAGCCCAAATCAGGTCCCTGCGCCTAGCGGTGCACCCTAGCAGTGAAACATTCAGTAGGTTGACCTGGAGGGGCGGACCCAGCAGAGTCTGCCCAGGTCTGTGTCTCCTTAGTACACTGCAGTGAGTGGGAACACCTAGCCGGAGGATTCAAAGAAACTGCAACAGACAAAGAGAAAAAAACTGGGCCTCCTACATACGCTTGTATGGAAGGAACAAAAAGTATGGGAAAAGGGAGCAACAAGAAAGGGTCCTCAGTCCTCAATCCTGAGAACACTGATCCAGGAAAGGTAAACGGAAAAGAGAATGAAGACAGAAAACATGCAATATCTGACACGGCACCTATAGATATAAAGCGGTATCTCCGGAGCCTCATAGACAAGTTCAAAAATGAAGTATTTAATGAAATAAAGCAAGAAATAAGTAGAATAGTTAGAGAAATGCTAAGCACTGCCCAAGAAAAAACAGACGGTAGAATGGAAGAACAGAAAAAAAGGGGAGAATTGTTTGATGGAAAAAATAGAGAAAACACAGAATACGTGAAGCAGGTTCAAAAACATTACCAGGAAACTAAAAACTCTATTGAAAGCTGGCATAACAGCTTGAAAGAAACTAAGGATAGATTATCAGAACTGGAGGACAGATTTGTAAGGTGGGAGCATGAAATGAAAAACTTCTTAAAAATAACAAGAAAACAAACAACAATAATACAAAGACTAGAAGATGATAAGATGATCTATAACTTAAGAATTAAGAACATAAAAGAAGTAGGGATTCAAACAAATGAACTACAAAAGCTATTCACAGAAATAATCCAGGAGAATTTCCCTAATTTAGCAAAAGGTAAAGATACTCAGATGTATGAGGCATACAGGACCCCAGCCACCTACAACTCAAACAGAGCTACACCCAGGCATATAATAATCAAAATTCCAGAAATCCAATATAAGAACAGAATATTAAAAGCCATCAGAGACAAGAAACAGATCACTCACAAGGGAACACCCATCAGAATTACAGCAGACTTCTCGGCACAAACCATCAAATCATGAAGAGCGTGGGGGGAAATAATTCAAGCTTTGAAAGATAATAACCTCCAGCCAAGATTGATATATCCTGCACAACTGTCCCTAGAAATTGATGGAAAAACAAGGTGCTTCCAGGATAAAGAGGAACTAGAGGAATTTGCAACCACAATTCAACTCTACAGAGATTACTGCAGGATATTCTAAAAATGAAAAATACCAAGATCCCAGAAACAGTGGCAGAGCGGCCACAATGAATGGAGCAGAAAGCGAAATGAAGAGGACAAACTGACAACTAATGACAAAAAGAGCCCAACAGAAATGAGGCAGAGAAGGTTGGATGGTAGGAATAGCCATTTTGGAGAAAACAAGACATCATAATAGGTAGTGCTGATTTAATATCCTCTTGTTTTGAAGTCCATCAAGCTTTTGTTCTTCTGTCTCCATCGGTTTTAACGTGTTTTATCTTATTGGATTTTATTATATGTGATAATATAAACAAAGACTTTTATAGACAAGGAGATTATACAGAAACCATTGTTCATTTTCTGTTAGTTGATTCTAAATACCCTGTAATACTGTCATTCTCTTGAATGGTTTTACATTGTCTTGATATGTTTGATGCTATAGTATACGAAGTTATACCCAAAGATTTTAAGGGAAGAGACATTATGGCAACTACTATTATGTCAAGATTATCTTGTGGTGAAACACTATTTTGCTTAAATGGCTATGTTTTGATCTGCACTGTTTTGTTGTTATGCCCTCTTTTTTTATCTCAATCTCCTTTTTATTATCTACTTTTTCATTTTTATTCTTTTAATTAAGGGAAAAATAAATAAAAAATAGTAGGATATATTATAGTAACCCACTTTGATTTCCTATTAACTTGATTTGAAACTCTATATTGCTCTCACCATCTTGTTTTGACTGATTTTCCTCAATCTGTTATGCTAGATAGTACCACGTTTGAAAATATAGGCAACAACTATGAAGACAATAAGATTCACTGTGATGCCCATTCTGGTTGACTATTATCTTCTTTGAAGTCCTCTAATGTCTCCAATGTTTTGGTTTTATTGATCTTATTCTTTACTGTTTTGATCAATTTTATTATAACTGATGACATAGGCAATTCTTTTTAAGATAACAAGAGGCATTATGGTAAGCATTGTTGATCACCTTGTATTTTGTTTTTACATTATCTATTATGTCCATCGTTTTGATTTGACTGACTCTGTCCTGGTATGTCACATTTGGTTTTACTTTCTTCAAAAAAAACAAAGTAATAAGAACTATGGGAGTAATAAAACCCAAAATGTGAATTTTCATTGTACAAAAGAAAAGAAAGTTCTCTAAAAAGTATAACTGCATATATATTTAAGTGTATAAGATAGATAACCATATTACTGAGTCTTGTTGGATCATTGAACAAAACTGTTTGCAGTCTCACTGTTTGAAAGTCCCCTCTATATGCTTTAATTTTGTAACTTCAACAACTATTTCCAAGATGACAACATGTAATTAACTAGTGATTTCCTACTGTTTATTTTTTCTGAAATTCTATATAACTTGTACCCTTTTTCTGTTTTTCTTCTTTTTTCTCCTTAAATAAAATTAAAAAAAAAAAAAGATGTAACAGAAGGTGTATTACATTCAATTTAAACTCAGAATGCCTCAGGCACTTGTATATGTTGTCCCAAACTGCAACCTGGCCTGATAGATAAAACTGAAATCTAATGTTAGGGTAAGAGAATACTCATACAACAGTTATGTCTTAGTGAATCACAGCAGCTGAGTTAGGTCAACTACAGGAGCCCAGCTGACTCAAGGCAAAACACTAAGCTATAATCAATTAAGTTGTCTCTGTATGTCATTTTCATTTTCTATCCAGAAATGTTATCTGACCATATTACAAACCACCAGTTCATTGAACCTGTTCTGGGCTGAGGACCACAGTATCTAGAATGGTAAGAGCTGAAAAGCCAGTTGCAGTGATAACATGTCTATAGTCCAAGCTACTCAGGAGGAAGAGAAGGATCTCCAGGTCAACCTAGGCAATTTAGCAAGATGCTGCCCCAAAATAAAAAGGGAAAAGGCTGGGAGGTGGCTCAGTGATACAGTGGTCGCTTAGCATGCCCAAGACACTGGGTTAAATCCCCAGCACCAAGAAACAAAAACTAACCTCAATTAGAATCATTAAATTTGTCCTAATTTTGTCACCACATAAGGTCATGATTAAAGATTAATTTTTAAATGAACTCACTACGTGTTTCAGTGTTAATAATGAACCTCTGTTTTGAGATGTTTAAGGCTGAAACAAAATAATGCTGCAACCTGGCACGCATTAAGTCTTCAAAAAATTACTTAGTTCTTTTCACTACGTGCTGTGTCCATCAGAAACTGATCTGGCTTTGGATCCTAACCCTTGGCAGCAGGCCTGCCAAAAGACAGGAACCTACTCAGCATTTTAGAAACAACTGCAACAGCGAAGTTAGAAATACGTAATAAAAACAATATTTAACCAGGGGTCGCCTTCGACGTGGAATACACTTTCTTTTTAAAGGTAAACTGAAGGTCGGGGAAAGAATGCGGTCCAATAATATAGTGATCTCTTAGCTCCAGCTCTAGGAACACCTCTCTGTCGTTCTTCTCCCTGTCCTAACTGTTTAACTAGCTCCACAAGGAGCCCTTACGTCCCACAACCGGACTAAGACCACAGCCCTTCCCAGAAGGCTTTGCAGCGCCGCGGAGCATTGTGGGATACAGAAGGAATAAACAAATCCACGTAACCGAGACTTGGGCCAGAGAAGCCGCCATAAATCTCATTGTGTGAGTTCCTTCGCCATTTTATATGCTTACCTTTCCTAGAGCCCCCGCTACCGGGAGCCTCGTCAACGCCCGCAAAGGCTGGGAACAACGCCATGATCACAGGCCTTACCGCCGTCCCCCTCCACGGAAATGGCGCCAATCAGCGACCGCCGGTTGGCTGCCTCCGCCGTCCTGTTGCACGCTGGGAAGTGTGGTTTTCTTGACGCTTCCTGGAGTTTGACCGAGGCGAAGAGGGAGGAGAAGGGCGGGGCAGGCCCAGTGGGCGGGGCAGATGGGCCGGGCGGGAGTGGGCTGGGTATCCTTAGGTTTTTGAGAAAACCGGAAACGCGGGAAATAGCAAACCGAATTATTCAAAAGTAGAAAAGGATTAGGAAGTTAGAATGCCAATTCCAGTTTTAACCTACACGTCACTTGTCCACTTGTTAAGTGTATCAAATCAGTCAAATATTCTAAGATGTCCTAGTCTGCAAACTATTGAGAGGCTTAACTGAACAAATATATATAGTGTTCAGCATTGTGTCTTATCCTGAAAAAGCACTTAGGAAAATTAGCTGTTGTGAGTTCTGACTGCAAGTTCATCTGCGAGCCTTTTTTTTTTTTTTACAAGCAGTCAATTTTTGTTTTTTACAGGTAGTCACTTAGTTTTTACAGGCAGTCTTTATTTTTATAGTGCAAGCCATTTAAAGTATCCTAGATACACAGATGGATGCAAAGTTCCATCAAGATCAAAACTGATAAAAAATACATTCACGGCCGGACGTGATGGCGTACTCCTGAAATCCCAGCACTCGCAGATAGATCGGATCGTTGCAGGTTTGAGACCAGTTTGGACTAAAAACTGAGCCCAAAGCCAGCCTGTCTCAAAAAGACAAAAAAGAAAAGAAAAAGAAAACTGCATTCACCTGTCTAGGTTCTTTAGTGACTTTTGGTTTTGGGGGTTTTGTTTTTGTTTGGTTTTTTGTTTGTTTTGTTTTGTTTTTTGGAGACAAGATCTTGCTATGAAACTCAGCCATCCTCCTGCCTCAGCCTTCTAAAGGGTGGGATTATACCACCACCAGGCACTGCTATAGCATGTTCTTGAGACAGCGAAAAAAAAATCCCAATCTAACTAAGTATGCTACTAGAAATAAGAAATTTAATTTTTTAAAAAAGACAATACCACCTAGAAGCAATCAGCCAAATCCAGAATGTGGGAAATTATAGAAAAGAATTAGTTTATTCTCAGCAAATCAATGACACTGAGAAGGCGGGAAATTGCAACAGATTAAAAGATTTTAGAGTCATATCAACCAAATGCAACCTCATGATTCCAATTGCACTAATTGTAAAAAGAACTTTTACTGTGGTGGAGGGGAGGTGATAAGGATTTGGTGCATGCTAACCCTATGCCTAAACCCAGCCCTTAAAGGACTTTTTAAAGGGAGACAGAGAAACAAGGTGAATAGACTGTTGCATGATATCAAGTAATTCTTGTTCACGCTGCTAGATATACTAATGGATCAATGGCACTAAGATATCCATACTGATTTGCAAATGAAATTAAATACACAGTGATATATTTCTTTGGATCCCTGGGAGCTCAGTGATATTTAGAGTTAGCTATGATACTTTAGAGACCAAAGATACAAACGTAGTCATCAAATCGAGGAATATAGATGGACACTTGGGAAGCTACATGATAACATAAAGATTAGGATGTGTAAATTCACGATCAGCATGTTTCATGATTTCAGTTCCTGATTTTAAAAGAGACTTGTAAAAAGGGTGTTGGAAAGACTGCGTATATGTAACTTTAAATATCAGGTTCTACCAAAATCTCTAGTTGTTGGGGCAGGGATTTAGCTCAGCAGCATAAGTGCCTGCCTGACAAGTGCGAGGTCATGAGTTCAATCCCCAATAACATCAACAACAACAAAACTGTAGCTTTAAATTATCTCAGCTGATTAGTATCTTTCCCCTCCAAAAACTACAGTCTAAACCATAATAATAATGTTTCTGTAGTTAAAAGGAATCTGGGCATATTAAGTACTTAGTATATTTACAAGTGTGTTAGAGAATTTGGCAGGGACTCCTTATGAAAATAGTTTAAATTATGTAGTCACATAACCAATCTGGATTGCTGGTTTGAAGTTGAAATCTTAATGACGTTTAGGCAGGGTTTTAGGACATCTAAGAAATCTGATGTTTTCCATATTTGTAATTGCAATTGACTAGGTTTATTGGAGATACTTCAAGAAGGTTGATAGATCATCAGGTAAATGAAGTACCTGAAAAGGAAATAAATATTAATGAATAGATGTATACAAAATGCATAAGTCAGGGGCTGGGGATTTAGCTCAGCGGCATAAGCGTCTGCCTTGCAAGCAGGCAGTTGTAAGTTCGATCCCCGGTACCGATAAAAAGGAAAAAGACCAAAAAAAACCCAAAATGCATAAGTGTGCTGAGCAGAAGCCTGCAAACCTTTTCTTAAAGGGGCACATTATGAATATATTAGTTTTTATGGACCAGAGGGTATCTGTCACAATTATATTCCATCTGTGTATTGGGAAAGCAGTCATAGAGGATAGATTTATAAATGAATGTGCCTGGCTATATTCCAATAAAACTGTATTTACAAAAACAATCCCAAAGGTGGTAGCCTACCAACTACAATACTGTTTAGTATTATATTAGACTTTCGTTAATTCCCTTATAAATTGAAACCAACATTTCTCAAGACTCCTTTAAAATTATTGCTAAAATTTGGGCTTCAGTCAAGGCATAGTGGCACACACCTATAATCTCAGCACTCAGAAGGCATTGCTGTGAGTTCAAAGCCAGCCTGGGTTACATACTGTGTTCAGGGTCAGCCTGAACTACATGACAAAATCTCGTCTCAGAAAACAAACAAGCCGGGCACGGTGGCACACATTTCTAAGTAATCTCAGCATTTGGGTGACTGAGGCAAGAGGATTGCCTTGAATTCAAGGCCAACCTAAGCTATATAATGAGACCCTGTCTTGAAACAAACAAAATAGTATGACATCTATGATTTGCTTCGAATTAATACCCAAGGGAGTTAACAGATAAAGAGGTATGATAGAAACAAAATTGACCCACTAGGTGTGGTGACACATGCCTGTAACTCAGCACTTGGGAGGCTGAGGCAGGAGGATCAGCATCAGGTCAAGGGCAGCCTGAACTGCATAGTAAAACCCCGTCTCAAAACAAAACTAAGAAAAAGAACAAGATTGGCCCCAACTTGAAAATTACTGAAGCTGGACTAATGTGTACATGGGGATTCATATACTATTGTATCCTTTTTTGGTTTAGTATATTGAAATATTCCATACTACAAAATTTTTAACCAATAATTAAAACATTTTATTTTAAAAACCATAATATATGTATCACTGCTACATACAACAGAATGAATATCAAAATCAGTATAAGTAAGTTAGAAAAGAGTACTGATAGTTTGATTTATTTATAGAAACTGCAAATGAACGCATAGTGATGGCGGATCTGTGTTGCCCAGCTATGGGACCAGAGGGAGGGATGTTCTCTGGAGGGCTCGGGGGAACCTTTGGGAGGTGATGGAAGTGTTCTGTATCTTTATCATGGTGACAGTTCCATAGGTGTGTGACCTTCTGATGTATTAAAAGCTTCATAACAGTGAGGGTTTTGAATTTGTCTTAATAAACGGAACTTTTCCTGAGTAAACAATTTGAGACTGAGAGGGACACGTGGTCTCTGTGGCAACTATATTGAAATTTGAATTTTATTCAGTTTTCAGGCATCATAAAATATTATTCTCCTTTCCATGTTTTCTGCAACATTCATAAGCATAGAAACTATCCTTGACTCAGGCTATAAAAACTGACAGTGGACTCATAGACCTTGGCCATAGTTTTGTAGACCTCTAAAAACTTTTTTACTGTTGACTAAATTAAAGGTAAACTTTAAAGGTCTTTTCTTCATAGAAACAACACTCCTAAATTTACCACAACTCTACTAACATTGCGGTATTATTTGGGGAGGCTACCAGGAATCGAACTCAGGACCTTAGATTTGCCCAGCAGGTGCTTTGCCACTGAGCTATATCCCCAGCCTCTTGTATTATTATTATTATTATTATTATTATTATTGTTGTTGTTGTTGTTGTTACTACTAGGCATATGGCTGAAAATCCCGAAATAAATCAGAAATGATTTGAAATTCTTATTTAGCTTTGTATGTAGCTTGACTAAAGGAAGAGAATGCACAACTCATCCATTTTGAAGCATTTCTATTCGTTGTGGCAGAAATAACTCAAGGCAAATGTCTCTGGACACTGGTAAGAGTAAATCATTTCTCTGAACCTGGAAGCAGAAGGGCAAATACATGCAGGAGAAGGAAAATAAAAGTACAGGCCAAACAAACAAATGAACAAACAAAAACATGAAAAGAAGTTTTGTTCTAGTTGCTGGGAGGAGGAATGGAAAAGTGGTGGGCATGAGTAATGGCTAACAACCTTAGAAAGCAGCCTTTGTGTGACGCCACAAGGAGCCACGCTACGAACAAAAGGGTTGCAGGAGGCAGTTGAACGGAGAAGGAGATACAGTACTCAGCACTTTGTTGGCAAAATAGTGCTTATATAATTCCCTTACTTTTAGACCTGGGTACCACACAAATTGAAAAGACTAGGTGGACATGTTTTGCCCCAATAGCATCCTCTTTTCTGAATCTGCAAGAAGGTCTTGTCACTAAAGTGGTGCCTGTATGTTCCAGCCCCATCTGATAGGTCACACTAAGTGTGTGGCTCGGCTTGGCCAAGTCTTTAGTTGAGCGGTTCACCATCCAGCACTGACCCAAGCAAGGCCAAGCCAAGCTCTTTTCCAGGATTTTTAGAACTCACGGAAAAGCAAAAGCTTCTCTTTGTGTGTGTGTCTGGGCTGCAAGATGTGATAGCCCAGGAGGTGGTGGAGAAGCAGGGGAAACCTGCCTGCGGCGGCGAGAGAAAGGGAAAACCAGAGGTGAGTCAGAGAGGTGAGTTCCAAGCTTGTGGAACTCTCCTGCTGGAACCCAGCTTTGTCTCTGTGCTCGGGATCTTTCTAGGCAGTCACACAGCCTTATTTCCCCTTGCCAAGCAATGAAATTCATGTGCCCATTTTGTCATTTGCTTCCAAGAATCCTACATAGTACAAGGAAGACTAAGTGATGCCATTCCTCCACTCAAGGTCAAAATCCCAGATCTTGGACTTGGCTCCAGTTAGTTTGAATGATGAATGAGACTTTTAAACTGGTCTACCAGGTACACAGAGCGGCCAACTCCCTTTCATCTGCAGGAGGAAGGAATTCACACTATCTCAGGTAAACTGGAGAAACAGGTTTATCAACTCATTCAATCTTAAGAATTTTCTGTTGGTTTTATGAAGTCAAAGAAAACATGCCTTTTGGAAAATAGAATAACAAGGAAGTAAAAGCCTGAGCCTCTTCACTGGTGTGATGTGCTTTCTCTTCTGTTCCGTTTTGTTTCAGAGGACAGTGAGAAGTCTTGGATTGGCCATGTCTTAGTACCGGACATAACCCTGAGCAGTCATTCTTTGGTCGTAAGTAAACTGGTCTATTGACGTCTAAGTTACAGTTCACATCCTTCAAAATGTGTGAAATGTTCAGATGTTCTGTAGAAGTACACAGAACAAAGTCATCAACAACCCTTACCCATGGTATTTTTGTTTAAAATAGTCATCACGAAGCTCTTTCACCAAAGGTTCACCCCAGAAGTCACCTCTTTCTTCCTTTCAGGGAAAGGAGCAGAGAGGAGGAGAGGACAATTGGCCCCACTTCGTTGGACCCAGGGCCTGTTTAGTAAGGAAAGGTCACAAGGATGCCAGGTGACCGGCTGCAGCTGTGCATGGTCCTACTTCCGTCCCACCCCACGGGACCTACCCACAGTCTGTCCTGGCGGCTAGGTGTGCTGCCTTTTGGCACCAGTGGTGACCCAGGGGTGCCAGGCTGCCCACATTGGTTGGGAATCCAGCTTCTTCAGAGCTGTGGTCACTCCATCCACTGTGGCCAGAAAGCGGGAACCAGAACTGGCCAAGCAATGGGGTTATCGAACCTAGGTCTTTCTCAAAGAGCTACACAACCGGCCCTATTTTTTATCCTAAAGCTTGCCAAGTCTCTATAAGTTGCTCAGTCTTGTGATCCTCCTGCCTCAGCCTCCCAAAGTAGAGATTAAAGGTATACAACACCATGCCTGGCTCCAAAATGCTTTTGAAGAGTTTGGCTTTTGTTATTATCACTCTTCCAGAAAATGATATGTGGCTTTGTGCATTCATGTTTCTGACAATTGAAAAACACCCCGCCACTGAACTATACCCCATCCCAGTGTATGTTTCTTAGTGTTACGTTAATAATAAGAGAGATCAATGAGACAACATAAAGCATTTTTTAAAAAATAATTTTAAAATCCACAAATAGTTAAACCCCCACTCCTCTGGCTGCCTTTCTTTGCCTAGAAATGTGACATTTAAGAAGTGAGTTGGCCCAGTCTGCACTTAAAATCTCCTTCATCTTGTTGACCTTTTTCTCTCTGGCAGTTCTCCTGGCTTGTGGGTGGGTATCTTACCCACAAGTGCGGCAGCAGGAGCTGGCTGATCATCTCTTTCCCATCTGCATCTCTCTTTTCTTCGCCTTCATTCATTGCCAAAAAGAGCAAGAGTGTGCATTTTCCACCTGTAGAGAGGGATGTAAATTAAATTGGTCTTCCCCTTTTGCATATTACTTATTTAGGGATGCAGAGAAGGAACCAGCTTCACCTACCATGTTAAACATAATACAGAAGAAGTTTTGAATGTAGGAAAGAATAAAAAAGAGGGGAACTAATTGCCATATTCCCACTATCCAAAGATAAATGCTTATGTTGGACTATTTTTTGTCCTGTCTCTCCAACTTCCTTCCTTCCTTTTTGTTTTCTCAATGTCTTAGATTATGAGTAATTTTTCACTATAGTTGTGATTATTTTTTCCACTTAATGTTATGAACAAACATTAAAATGTTTCTGCTTTATTACAAAGACTAGAAGCATGTATTAGATGAATATTCCATTCAGTGGATGAAGTCACAAAATACTTAGCCATGTCCTGTGACTCCACTTCTTCCGTCTCCTCCTCCGGCTACCCATAGCTCCTCCAGAACGTGAAGTGCCTGGATAGACTTGTCAGTTACAAGATCTTAAATGTGTAGTGGCTTCCCTTAGCCAAGGGAGATGTTTGTAATGACAAATGGCCTCTTCAGAGGACTATAAGGAAGAAGATGGTCAAAAGGACAGCCCAAGGGCAAGGTGACACCTTCCAAAAAGACATATACAATTTGAAATAACATTTATTCAGCAGGGCCCGTAGTGCACCAGCAATACATGCAGACATCTCAGCAAACAATTCTGACCTGAAGAGTGAGGTGCTAAAGATAAGCTATGTCAGAAGACACAATTGCAACACGTTTGGTGTAAAAATCTCTGTTGGCTTTATTTGTGATTCTAGAACCAGGCAACACTTCGTTGTGTAAAACAGCAAGTATTCATGGAATGAGTCAAGCAGGTTGGTTTTATAAACAGAAAAGAGCTGAAGAAAGCAGAAACACGGAATAAAAAAACAGGCTGGCCACTTCAATGGTCCTTTCCTTGCAAGATAGGCAGGAAGAAGATGTAACAGTCCAAAAACAATTGACTGCTTAACATTGTCGTTTCTGCTTGCTTGTTCCTCTTTTTCTTTTTTTAATTGTCTTTCCAGGTAAGGATTAAAGCAGAAACTTGTACATTGCATGACTGTACAAACTGAAAGTGGATTTTTGGGAAATTTGGTGATTCTTTCTGCCCGTTAGTTTGTCAGGAGGTCACATAACAATTTAGGTTTGGTGATGCAAAGCTTTAATGGGGTGATTCCGTTTTCATCTTTCAGGTTGTCTATTGGGGCCAAGTGCAGGAGCTTTGTCCAAATCAATGGCGTCCTATAATTTTCATTTAATATCTATAAGTTAACAAAGCAGCTGGATGTAGTGATACACAGCTATTATCCCGGCTTAGTGAGGCCTTCCCTCAAAATAAAACTTTAAAAAGGGCTGGAGGAGTAGCTCAGTGGTAGAGTGCTCTCCTAGTATTCATAAGACCCTAGGTTCAGTCGCAAGCACTGAAGGTGACAAAAAAATGAACCAAAGCTTACAGCAGCACTGGGGAGGTAGGGATTAGCTGTGCCTCCCTGGAAGGCTCAGAGGGGAGCTGTTTACCTGGATCTTGAAGATAAGAGAAGTAATAAATACAGACTGAGGAAAGAGCATTGCAGAAATCTGAGTTATAAGTGGTATAATAAGGAATTTATCTGATCTTTGTTCTTGATTCTTCCTGGGAATTAAGTCCTTTGACTTTCTCTAGTAATATGATAGGAAATTTTTGTTATTCACGGTGGGCCCTGACTGTACTAAATTCAAGCTAACAAGATGACTCTGGACAAGAATGGTACATGCCTGTAATTCCAGCACTCAGAAGCCTGAGGCAGGAGGAATGTTGCAAGTTCAAGGTCAGTTTATGCTACATAGTGAATTTAAGGCCAGCCTGCAAAGAAGGAAGGAAGACAGACAGACAGAAAGAAAAAAAGGCAGGCAGGCTCTGGATGGGGGAGGCCATGCAGTAAGACCAACCATGGTGGCTTAGTGAGTTGGGACTTGGAGCCGGCCTGACTTCCAGAGAGTGTCCTCCAGGGATGATTGGATATAGAGCTCAATCATGTGACCAATAATTTAATTATGCCTACATTAAAAAAAAAGGAGGAGGAGGAGGAGAAAAAAAGAACAACAAAACTCTAGACACAGAAGTTGGGTGAACTTGGGCAGGAAACACATCCAGAAAGTGGTAAATTCTGATTCCACAAGAAGAGACCGAACACACACACACACACACACACACACACACACACACACCCCGCCCCAGTCAGGACCCTCCCTGCTCTCCCACCATGTCTCTGCATTTGGCTGGGCCTTATAATAAAACCTGGAGATATAACTCAGTGGCAGAAACGTCTGCCTGGCAAGTGTGAGGTCATAAGTTTGATCTCAAATAAATAAAACCAATAGTACAATCACCCTAGGTATCCACGGGTATGGGTTCCAGGACTCCTCACGAATGGATTCCAGAGTCTTGGACCCTTCAGTATCACGGTGTACATAATAGTATTTGTGTGTAAACTATGCACATCCCTTGCATCCTTTAAATCATCTCCTAGGCCAGTTATGACACCTAATACAATGTAAATGCTATAAAAAATAGTTATCATGTTGTATTGCTTGGGGAATGATACCAAGAAAAATGTCTGTACAATTCAGACACAATTTTTCTAAATATTTTCCATTCTCAGTTGACTCTCTGGATACAAAGTTGACTGTGTGGCCCTCTCCTGAGTTCCATGACTTTCTAGTAAATTGTCAAATCCCAGGGTGTCATGATGACCCTATATTTGTAGAGCATTGGAAGTGCAGGCCAGACTTCACAGCTGACGTCTGAAGTGAGGGTGGTTTCATTAGCTACTGTCCCTTAGACCCGTGGAGTGTGTGGCAACTGTTGGTGGCTCATGAGCTGCACTCTGCTGGGACCTTTCAAGGAATGATCAAAATATACGGTGAGTTTTAGATTTTAAAACAACATTATTACAATGAAAGACACCTGGCCATTAATCCCCCTCTAAGTACCCCTCTTGCCTCAGACACACTCATCCCATCATTTTTGCCACTTTCTGAAGCCATTCTGAGGTCCTCTTCTATGAGTGTCTTTATAAAGTGTGATCAAAATATACAGAGCGCTGCTGCCGAGTGTCACCTGACAGAAAGCAGGCTCGTGAGTCCTCACCACCTTCTTCACTGGGTCTGCTACCTTGTCACTTTCAGCTGTTCCCCAAAGGCAAAATGACCATGACAGATGAGTATTTTGAATCACGATATAGCCCCAGTAGTGCAAGTAAGGCCCTCACAAAATAGAGGACTTCTAGAATTGCTTCAAAAAGTGGCAAGATTAATGGGATAAATGCATTCAAAGAAAAGGGGAGTATTTTGAAGAAGGCAATCCATCTTTTTCTGTATTTTTTTTTTAATTTTTAAAAAATGTCCACTATAGGACCGGGGATTTAGCTCAGTGGGCTTAAGCGCTTGCCTGGTAAACACAAGGTTGTGAGTTCAATCTCCAGTATAAAAAAAAAAAAATCCACTGTATTTTCCAATCCTTCTGAATATCTTGAAGGATTATAAGTCAGGGCATATCAAATTTTGGTGTCTTGGAAAAATCAGTTTAGCCAGGGTGGAATGGCAGGAAGGTATGTCACAGAGTGCCAAGGAGGAAAACCAATAAACGACAATAATACACAGGAATCAGAAGCTGGGCTGTTCTTTTTGAGTTCATTCTTAGGTATGTTTTGAGGATGAATTTCAGAATTCCCTGAAAAATAAGCATAAAGTGACACTGGAGAAAGAACTGACCCCAGAGGTTGGCTTGGCAAGGATTGCCCAGTGCATCATGGAACCAAATTAGCCGGTGACTGGAAACATTCCACTTTCAATTACTGGTAAGCTACAAGACTAAGGTCTTTTTGTGGGGGAAGGAGGTTCAGATAGGGTCTTGCTGGTAGCCCGGGCTGGCTGCATATGTACAGTTCTCTTAGCTTTAACCTCTGAAGGTGCTGGGATCACAGGTGCGCACCACCACATCCAATTTGGATTTGGATCTTTTGAAGATATGTATCCTCTTGAGTCTTTGAGAAGAATTTGAACACAAAAATAATAAAGTATCATATTGCTACTCTTACCGCCAATTTAACACATTAGTATTTTCTTTTTTGCTTGTTCTGTTTGTACATATTTGCCTTATACTTCAGTCAGTGGTTCTCAGCATGAAGAGGGAGGAACAGTTCTCCCCAGAAGACATTTAGAGATATTTTTGGTTGTCACAACTTAGGCACGGGTGGGGAGGGTGCAGAATATCCTGCAAGGTGTGAACAGCCACTGCCACACTGAATTACCTGCTGAAAATGTCGATAATGCTGAGAATGAAAACCCTTGATTTATGTAAAAGAAATAAAATATTAGAGTTGGATAGTATTCCATTGTATAAAAATACCACAACTTTTTTTAATCCATTCCTCAGTTGATGGACACTTAGGTTGTTTCCAAGATCGGGCGATTACAAATTGTGCTGCTATAAACATAGGTGCACATATATCACTGTGGTAT